TGAAATTTGATTTATTCTGACCATAGATTAAAGTCAGTAAGCAGACTAGCAGAAATACTACTGAGCAAAGCACTCCCAGCACAGATGTCTGTATTTCCCATCAGCAGCTGATTCTGCTCCAGGGTCTAGTTTCCACTAAAGGCTTTGCATCACTAGACTGACAGACAGTGGGAATTCACCGCAGGCCAAGATACAGTATGTCTGCTATTATTTAACTGGTTTAGACACTATATACTGTAGTCCTTAAAATTGTCTACATTTCCCCTCAAGGAGTAATAAACGTATCTTTTTGTCCATCTAATGTTCTTCTTGGAGGTGATTACTTTTGAGGAGTATGGTTTTTGAAGAAATTTGGCTATTAGTTTGCAAGAATGAGCTTAGGGTATTTAATGAAATTTTATCAAACCCATTTTGCCTTTGCTGGTCTGGAATCCTAATGTTTTAATACTGCTCAGACACACACACACACACACACACACACACACACACACATACACAAATTCCAAGGTTTACACTTAACTACCAGTGGGTGGATTTCAAGATGAAGGTTCTTGCTGCACTAGAGAAATCACTCATAGCCTCGAGATCCACTGCTGTGATTGCATGAGCCAGCAGATTTGTTTTTAACCAGAGTAAATGAAAACCTCAGACTCAGAAGGGGGAATAAAAACAGGGAAATGTGAGGGTGGTTCAAACCGAACTGAACTCCCATCTCTTCTGAAGAGTGTTTATTATTCCTTTGGAAAATGTTAAATAGCACGTCTCAGAAGAGGATAAAGAAAGGAAAATATGTAGGATACAGGCCTGTTTTCACAGATTTGGCCGTGCAGCTTTGAGGATATATTGTCTGTTTTTGAAATTTGCACTTTGTCATTCCATACAGGAAATGGTGGAAATGGTGGAAAAGGGGAACCGTATCCAGGCAGTCACTCTTTTCCATTAGAGAACAATGGATTTTCCAGGTCTTGAGGCCGTTAACATCAAGAACAAAAACTTAAACAATGGTAACTACTGTGTACTGATTGAACTATATTAAGACGAAAACTGTGGTTTATTGCCATTTGTGCAGTTGCATTCTCAAGCAACAAACTAATCTAAAGCTACATAGCGGTTTAATCCCGATTCCTAGTGTTCCCTTTGAAGTGTGCATGTGGAAATGCTCTTAATTTCACAATTTTAAAGTCCTTAGTTTTACTGTTGTTGTTTTTTTTTCACATTTATTTCACCAGATTTTTAAGTGATCGCCGATCTAGATTAATCAAGAATATGTTTCCCTGCTATCCTACAGTTTTAAATCATGTGTTGGACAATTCTTAAACCAATTTTACTTTCAGCAATATCCTTATATTTACTGTGCTTGATACTGTACATGCCAATAATTTGACCCTTCTGAAACAGATTACCATCTTTTTTCATGACCACAGGAAGTCTTCACATGGTTGTTTAAGAAATAAAAAGCTACTCTCTACATTAATTACGGTTAAATAAATTGTTACCAACTTAACACACTATCATTATCCAATGGGAGGATCTTACATATTTGCTTTGGTAAAATCTGGTGGTGACTTACTCCGCTCTACTTAATGATAGACGTGCGCGTGTCTACTTTAGAGAACAGAACCTGCATATGTTGCGAGTAACAGGTAATACAGCTGCAAAAAATATTCAGTTTGTGGCACAAAGTGATTGTTTGGGAGCCGGGCGCGAAGTATGAACAAGCACTTAGCAGTGATAATAAAACCGAAAGTGTGCACGACATTTAAATGATCATATCGTATTTTAGAGTTATGATTACAGCAAGCATTTGATGTTTTTTCTCTCATAGCGAACCCACAGTTGTGTATGAAAATAAATGTTTACAATGTCAGTATAACTACTCTAGCCTATATATTGTTGAATATAATCTGATAATGGCAAATGTCTGATTTTACCAGTGAATAAAATTGTCTTATATGACAGATTGCAAGCATATATCTCAAACATAATAATTCAACATCAGAATTATTATAAGTAGAATAGAATTATTTATAGAAACCAGTAGACCTACACATGATATTATTATCGATGTTGTGCCATATGTTTGTTTTTACCAAATTTTATTTTACATCTACAGAATCGTGAGAAAACCGTGATCTTTATTTTAAGCAAAAAAATCACGATTCTCATTTTAGCCAGAATCGTGCAGCTCTAACTGTAGGCTGTGATTTCAAGCTAGCAATACTATGATGTATTGTGATTATGTGAGTAATCAGTTATCCAGCAGGCCTTATCAGGGAGTGAACGTGGGCAGTAACACTTTCATTTTTAGAATAAGTTTGGAGTAATGTGAACGCCCAGCCTTACCATGGCAATGGTTGATCTTTCTAAAACAAAAACACACAACTGTAAATGCAGCCATAATATTCTAGTGATTATGTAAATGTATAGAACATTTTGTTTCTGTGATTATTTTTCCCCTGGGCTCTCGTTTGCCCATGTGTTTAATCCGCATTTGCATTTAGAGAATGCTTTCTATCAGAAAAATGACAGTTGGTCAGAATAACAGATATTTCCATTTGTTGGGGTTGAAAATCAGATTTACATTATCAAAAAAAAAAAAATAAAAATTACTCCTCTGAAGTAAAACAAAGTTCCTTTAAGGCAAGTCATTTGACTTGGCAACTATCTTTGAAAGGCCTCTCGGGCAGTATGCTCGGGTATTCTGTCTGAATAGCAAAACATCAAATTCTCCCAAATTGCTTGCTAAGCTTATGATTAAATCTCATATATAAGGGATATACAAAAACATTCAACAACAACTGTCCATTTAATTTCATATTTAAACATTTTAAATCACACAAAATCTGCATAAAATCGCATCTAATCTAAGGAAAATTGTCAGTCTATAGCAATCGCTGATTGGCTCCTGTATTGTAGGTGGGGCTTAATTTACCATATTGACCACTACACTTTTCCCCATTCACAACTATATGAGTGACACACCTTGTGTATTCTATAGTCTTTGATTACAATTTTGACATCATCCTTAAAAAAAAGTTAAGCTTGAGTATCTTGTCACAACACATCCTGCCCTGCTTTTGGTTTGTTTAGATTTTTTTCTCAGGAGAATATTGCCATTTTTACCATCCACTAAAAATAGTGGATTACAAAGTAAATATAAATACAAGCTATAGTTACATTTCTGGCTTACAAGATTATTCATGTCTATTTTCAATATTTAAAGCTTATTATCTGTAAATTATTTTTGAATAATATAATTTCCCCATCCAAGCTTCAGCAAAGCACTGTTTCAATATTTCCCGACCACAACTGAACATCTGCGTCATGCAGATGACATACATTCACAACATATGGAGCTTTCACTTCAAACCATATGGGCAAAAATACAGATTCTTGATCTGCATCCTTTTAACATATCAATATGGCAGTGGCACACATTCCACTTGTACCCTTACTCAAAAACACATCCACATGCCAAAGGCATTGGCTGACCTTTCAACTGGACATCTGTATAGGACATCATGGCTGCGGCCTCGAAAACCGCATTCCAGCTTTAATTCCCAGAACCCCATAAACCCAAACCAAAAGTTCTGCCCATTAGGCCAACCGACCGACAGTCAGTGTGCAAGGAGAGCGAGGACCGGGTGGTGGGAGGGGAAGGCAGTCTCACAAATACAGAGGCGCTTGTCAGGATTATCAAAGGCCCCCCACACTAGAAGAGAATGTTTGGAGGCGGCTAACAGAGAGACATAATGTGGCTATTTATCCCTCATGTGACTCTATGCATATATTAGAAAGAACACAGAAGGGACAGGCCATCAGCAGGCACCATGAATGAGAGCTTCAACAAAGTCTGCCTTTCTTCAGCACAAACGAGTGTTGTCATTTTTCATATTCCATCTATAACTGGTAAACAGAGCATGGAGTGAAAGTCCCAGAACAGCAGCACTTTTCAGATGCCAAGACCCATATCTAAAACACACACACAATGAGGACCAAATGTTTTGTGCCTAGAAAGAATCTATTCAGTTTGTGCTGTGAAGCAGTTCTAACGGAGTTAAAGGAGATATGATTGATTCTGTAGCAGGTGCTCAGTACTTCTGCAAGGAGCGTTTGATTTAGTGAGGAAACCATAAACTTTTACGCTTCCATTTTCACTTGTTTCATAATGTGACCATTTCCTGTATTTTTGAGGAGTTTTCCTGACAATAATAAATGACTTCCTTTATCATGTTTTCATAGTTCCAGAAAGAAAAAAAAACAGGATGTGGAAACCTCTGGAAAACATTTTGTTGAGGTCAATTTGTGTCTGGACAATGATAAAGAGTTAACAGCACATCTGTCAACCACTTACATGTACAGTAAATTAGTTTGTTATATGTTGTTGCAAACACAATCTCTGATTGATAATAAAAAGTCACAGTTGGTTCTCTTCATCTGCACCAGGTACAATCATCATAATCTGATTATAAGCTTGGGCAATTTACCAACCTACTTAAATCAGCATCAACAGAAAGAGGCTTGTTTGCTTACCCAAGCCTGATACAATGCTACCATTAAAAGAGACACAATCATATTATGGTATTTTTGTAAGTCTCAGTTAAGTTCCTGCCTTAAATGTGCTAAGAAAACTGTAAAATACAGACAGTTTCAACCACTTTTTTACCCATCTATTGATCACAACAGGAGATGGTACTGAATGATACCCAGCATTTACCTCCAGTGGAGTGAATTAAGTTGCAAGCAGAGACTAAAGCAGTCATTTTTACCAGATATCTGTTTGTTAGAGGAAGTCATTGTAATAACATGAGTATAAATCATGACAAATACTGCATTTGCTGTGGCGAGCTGTTTCTTGAAATATCTAAACTTCATAAATTAAACACTCTTAGCTTTCTCTTAGAGAATATCCAGTAAAGTGGTCGTAAGTTCACACACCTTCACAGTTCACATTTTTCGGACTACTCGACCTCAGCTAAAAATATAAGCCAATAACTTACCCATGTTTGAGACTAGAGCTCGACAACGCTGAAAAAGTCCACAGTTCAAGAGTTTGACACTGAGAGCTGCTAGCGGGACCGCCAGTGTATTCTTGAGGTGACGTCACAATCAACAGGCGGAGAGAATGGCAAGTTGTGTTTTGGTACATTTTCTGTAAGCTACATAATATAAATATTACTTAGGCTATATATGAGGAAATATGAATAAATTCGCGCCCTAATTACTTTCTAATTAGCCTATATATTCGATCTACAGTTAAATATTGCATGAATAAATTCATAGCACATCATGCCATAACTGGGGGTTATACACATATAGTCATCATTTGAAGTTGATAAAGTTTTTCTAAAATTGTCCTAAAACAAGAATTGGTGTTAAATAATTTTAGAACATTTTGATCAAAATCCTCTTCAAATGCTGACTAGGTTTTATTTAGGCATAGCCTGTATTGTATAGATACAGATCGTCAGGAGATAATGACATCGCCAAAACATGTATTTTGTTTTATTTTATTTATTTATTTATTTATTTATTTATTTATTTACTTATTTATTTTTGGCCAATACTTTTTTCTAACCAAAATAGGCCTATATATAGAAAATCAATATCTAGTTTTCGTGGCATTGAGAAAAGATTGGCCAAAGAAAAGGGATAAAATAAATACATGTCATGTTAACTCGTGACGATTGACGCCAATCACGCCATAATTTCATTTTGACGTCCTCTTGCTCACAAAATACATAAAGCAGAGTAAATCAATTCATTAAATCGATTAAATCTTTTTGATTTATGATCACAAAATTACAACTCTTTAAATCACAAATTGATAAGAACATTTTCAGTTTTCTTGGCCACCTAAGGTATATGTTCTAAAGCAGGCTATAATATCTCACGTAACGGTACAATATCATTCATGTGTGTTTATTCTCCAACCTGCTTCTTTCAGCGTTTACCGCCGAACACACCCTTCTGCGATGAGCAGTACGTGGCTCACAAAATAATATAAATAGGTTTAGCGGTGCCATCTGCTGCTTGATTTTAGGAGTTGCACTTTTATATTATGCAGATAACTGAACGGCCGAGTAACTCAGTCTATTATCTACAACAGCCTACGTAACGATTATACGCCATTATTTGCTCATACGCAAAGCTGATCTTTATGCATTATTATGTGCATGGGTTTAAGTATGTGCACGTGCAGAGGGGCAAATTCAGAGAGAGGTGAAAGTCCGCTAATGAAACTGAATATCTATGTGAAAGGACTGGTGGATTAATAATGCATCACATCCCCTGCCATGCAGTTTTCACAGCCGAATATGTCAGCCACAACAGCAATCAGTCTGTAAATTTCACTATTTTTTTTTTCTTTTTTTTTCTTTTCTTCTAACAATAGATGAACAATCTTTTGGACTACAAATACAAGGAAGCATGGGATCCCGAGCACCTCCCTGAGCGAAGATTACACGGATTTGGTCTATGATTTGCGTTGATTGACTGGGCGAATGACCAATCAGCGTTCAAATGCACGGTCGGTGTGAAACGTCAGGTTCGAATCGACCAATCGTCGCAATGAATCCTAAGCAGCGCTGACAAACTATATGGACCAAGCGTTTCTCCGTCAGCGGTACACCTAATCTCAGCACCAGGTCGCTGTCCACTGACAACGACAGAGGTAGGTGATCTTCATTATCTTATTTCCCTCGCATGTTTCAATCCCGTGTACACCGCAATTATCGATAAACTTACATGTGCTACAAACGTTATATTTGTATACACGCGTTGCCTTTTACAACTACTTTGCCAGCCGTGCGTACTGTATATATGCACTGGTGATTATCACTGCACATTGGTCCAGTGTACAATAAATAATAGCACAACAAATGACCCAGAATGGTGTTACTGATTGGTTTCCTATTGGAATACAAAGAGCCATTCGATTCATAGCAACAGCAGCATAAAGCAGCAGCCTTCTGATTAGTTATTGTGCTATTTGTACTGCAACTTTTCTTAATGTGATTTGGGAGAACTCCAGATGGACTGTCCATTGAGGGAATGCACCAGAGACTCTTTTGGTGTTCACAATGGTCTGATAATGCATATCAGAGACTCAACACAGATTTCATTATGATTCTGAGCATCTGGGCAGGCTAGACGGAGCAGATTAGACACAGGGAGAAATGAGATACATAATCAGCTTTCTCTTGGCAAGACGCAGAGACACAAGCAGGACTAATGATCAGCGCTTCTTGAGACAGGTGAAATTCGACATGTCACCTGATATCTACTTGACACATTGGCTCACTTGTGGAACAAGTCATGGGGCATTATGTCTTGTTCATGATAGAAGTTTGTATGCCTGTTCTTTATTTTGCATAAGCTGCAAGGAATGAATTAATAGGTCTTTTTGAGTCAGTTTATTTTCATGGTTGTAAAGTGTGCCATCTTTATTATGTCATAGGAGAACAACTGCTTGATGCAATCACAATCAGATCCAGGAGAGTGCTTATACCGCCCTTGGGGATCGTATTGTCTAGTCTCTATGGGCTGTTTAGTGGAAAAGATTTACAGATTAAGTAATTGAAGATGTGGCAGATATAGTTAGGGTGATGGGTGTTTGATTATCAAGGGGAATATGGTGCAGATCAAAGTGTAACACTGTGTAAGGAAACTAATTGTATATGAAGATTGTCAAATCAAGGAAAACATTTGATTGGAAAAGTATCTCCAGTGTTTTCATTGTTGTCAATCTTTTTATCCTCTTTAAATCCTATGTATTGAAGTCAATAGAATGGCATTCGAAGAATGTTCTTTGAAAAGCCTTTAACTCACACATTTTAACTTGAAACTTCTAGTGAAGTCAATTCATTATTATACGAGTTCAGATGTCCATTCTGTCTAAGTATAAAATAAGTGGTTTGCTCTTCTGAAAAAAAAATCTTGAAACTATATTTAAGCTATTTAACCACCCATTATGCTACTATTTTTAGAAAAAAGGAGATGGAGAGGTTTAGGAATGTTGGAAGAATTGTCTCTGGGATGGTGCAATAACTGCTGTGATTATACTCAAAATGAAGATTGACAGTATTTAGTGATTAGGCTCCTTTCAAATTTGCATTTGCAACTTTATTTAATTTTATGTTTTTGTAGTTTTTTTTAAAGTATATATTTATGTGGCTGACACTTATCAAGTGCAATACTTGTGGGGGGGTTACATAAGACAAACATCTGGGAAACAATGACATTTTCAAGCTTAGTATGTAACTTTTGACGCTCCATTGGTTAATAAATAAAGCTGCATGCTTCTTGCAGAAGAAAACTGTAGCTGTTGCTACTTCTTGTGTTTGTAGTGTAGATGACGACTCACAGAAATGCTAGACTGTTCATCAGCACTGATCTACTTTCCTACATAAATGGTTCTTATAAGCATAATGTGGTGAATAATTATAAACATACACTGTTAACTTACTACTCATCTCTTTCTCCAGTTGAACATTGAAGAAGATCTTTAGTTGAAACTTGTCCTTGGCGATTCATATGATGCAATGTCAATGATAACCATCATTATGAGAGTCCTTATAGTTCTTGAATCTCTTTACCTGCTTGCATAGGTTTTTGGAATAATATATTTGATGACACAGATTGGGAAAAGTTTTGGCTTCTTCGGCTCTAATAAATCCAATAAAGCTGTCAAAGTCTCAATCAAAATTTTTCATAATTGCTACCTAATACATGCTAAACTAGCTAAATTTAGTAACAAATTTTTCCCTAAATGCTCATTTTACTTTCAATATGATGAAACACTAAATCACTTATTTTGGGAGTTACCTACTGTAAAGTGTTTTTGGGTTGACTTTTCCAATTTCATTTTAAAATCCTTATTTCCAACTTTTGTACTTCCCAAAAACTGTATTTTTTGGTTGCTCTCTAAATCTAGATCCTTCTCATTATTAATTTATTATTAATTTATTGCTTTTTCGGGCAAAATTTTACATCCGTAAATGTACATTTCCAAAGAACCACCCTTACTTATTATTTTCAAAAAGTACTTTAATTTATATGTGAACTTCTAAAAGACTTGCATGTAAAACTTTTTCTCGGTGTACATCATTTAAACTTTAATCATTTGCTGGAATTTTATTTTTATGTAACCTTTTTTGTCTCTTCGTTCATGATGTATCTCTGTCAATTTTATTTCTTCATTAATAAAAAAATAATAATTATGAGAGTCAAAAAGGCTGAAATATATAGAGTCTTTATATTTCAGTCTGTGCAGAACCTGAATGTTATGTACAAAACTATTACCTGTGATCTGAACTTGAAACAAACTGTCCAAAAGTTCCCAGAAAAGGTTCAGATTGTTCCCTTTTGACCAAGGCTGTAAGTTGCAAAAAAAAATTGTAAATAAAGTTTAGAGGAATGAGAGAAATCACTTTATGTAAGACACAGAGCTGTGTTCATTTTTATTATTATTATAATTTTTTTATCGTGCATTATACTTGACTTGTATTTTACTGTGTAAATCACCAAGGACTACAGATTCATCTAAAACATTTTTAATGTTCTACTCAAAAGACAAAAGTCAGTCACATCTTGGGTTTCTAAGGGTGAGTGTTTTAACAGCAAAACTTAACTAAATTGAGCTAATGTAGTTTACTTATTTAATACATATAGCAATACATAAATCATAATTTAATATACATATTTAATACAAAATAGTTAATACAAAACATGATTTATTGTGATTACTTATTATTATAATAGCTATATAGTTATAATAGCTTTCTTGGTGTCTTCAAATGTATTTGTCTATTTATTTAATGTAAGCTATATGCTGTAAAGTTCACATAAGTCAGAAATAAGCTGTAGATGCATTGGATGTTTAATGAAAAGCTTTGGGTCTTTTGTTTTGGTGCTGCAGACAATGGAGACACGGTTGCTATTCCCTTCTGTGTTTTTCATGATAGGGTACAGCAGGTCTATAGGCCCTTTTGATGTTATTTTCTGGCAAAACACGCAATAGCCACAAAAACAC